AGGGTTTGCTGTGCCTATAAGGCACCAAACACCGTAGAGCACTAAGCGGCCCTTGAGATGAAGCCCGGGTCATGAGGGACACCCGCGCCTGCAGACCTGACCCCCTCAACCTCGAGGGTTACAGATGCGTTGACAACCTTTTGAAAATTGGGCTCCGGCTACCTCACTCACCAGAAGAAACGTGAAAGTATTTGTCATACTTCCACTTTACGCTGGTCTTCTGTGAGGTCCTGGTACTTACCCGGACGGGCCTGCCCATTCGTGCATGAGCCGAGGCTGCTGCGTGGCCCTACCACCGGTACTATACATTTTATTACGCATCTCAGTTCTCGTTACCCCTGATCTTCAACTCCAATTTACATAATTAATAACAATGAGTACACCCACAAAAGATACCTGGCACACCACAACAAAGGGGCTTTTTAAAAAAAAAGATTCCTGTCAGTAATTTAATTAGCGACGAAATTAACTTTAAGAGTAAAAAAACTTTAAAAATTCGAGGCGGTATTTTATTTGACAGACAGCGCAATTTACATATTAATAGACAATGAAAACTTGACGAGGGCTTGAATCGCTTTTCTGTGACTTAAATATGGAATTTTATGTTAGTATCTTGTGTTAGACCTTGTTGACTATTATATTGTAACTAGCTGACCCGGCAAACGTTGTCTTGTCGAATAAATTATTTCTAAGGAATTTATAGGGTAGAAAAAAAATATTTGAGGTGGACCACCCTTAACATTTAGGGTGATGAAAAATAGATGTTGTCCGATTCTCCACCGTAGCCACACCAAATTTCACGAAAATCGGTAGAGCCGTTTCGGAGGAGTTCAATTACAAACACCGTGACACGAGAATTTTATATATTTTTATTTAGATATACATTTATTCTTAAAATGAAATCAGAAACAAACGTCTTTAACAATCGTACAAAATAGGTAAACAGGGGAAAGACTTCTTGTAATGATTCAAAACATTTTCTGCATATAAATAGTTACTCGAAAAGGTTACAAAAGTATAATTAAAAGTCAAATCTTTAAATTAAATCATTCCATTTTTTTTAAACACAATATCAGTTCAAATCACTATGTTAAAATCTGCTCCTACAATTTTTGCCGAAGCTTAAAGTAATGAATGCATTATTCACATCACATAAATGACAAAATAACAAATAGCTTTACAGACTCACTTCGAGACGAGTCTGCAAAGACTTTTTCTTGCCTTTTCATGGAATAAAATCGTATTTACTTCGTGGTGGTCCACAAATGAAAATAATCGTTTGATCCTATATGTACAGTAATTGTGTTCTATTTGTTATTGAAGCAATTAGGTGGTTTATATTTTTGAAAAATAATTTTTAAACAGTGAAGATTCCTCAAACTTATTATTATAAATTCTGTATTCAAGCCTAGATAGATTAAATCATTGTACTCGAGCAACCTGATTTAATTTTCCAGCACTGAGTTAAGCTCCTACCATTTCAAAGAAAATATTTGAAAGTGTTTGCCGAGCTATGTGGGACTCGTACCGGCTAAAACCCTTACAATTTTCCACTCACAGCGCATATTGTCACACACCCTTGTTGCATGCATTCAAAGTGGGCTTATTGAGCCTTACATCACAGGTCAGAGCAGTGTGGGTATCTCTTGGCTCTTCGAACCTTACATCACACACAGACCCAGTGATTTCACTGTGCGGAAGCAATCCACGGCTACTATGCCCCTCCACCACGAATATTGAAGGTAGTCCCTCATATTGTAGTAGTAGTGAATGTAAAAGTTTAGTGTTCCGTACTCAAAGGGTAATACGGGACCCTATTTCTAAGGCTCCACTGTTTGTCTTTCTGTCTGTCTGTTCGTCTGTCACCAGTCTATAGTATCTCATGAACCGTGTCAGTTAGACAGTTGAAATTTTCACAAATGATGTATTTCTGTTGCCGCTATAACAACAAGTATTAAAAATAGAATGAAAAAATATTTAAGTGGGGGTCCGATACAGCAGACACGATTTTTTTGCCGTTTTTAAAGATAGCGGCACCTTTCGTGCGCGACTCACACTTGACCGGTTATATAAAACAGCTTTTTCAGCCTTCTTTTGGTCCGGTTCTGCTCTTAATCGTCTCAATAATGCCTTTTGCATTATTGAGACGAGCAGCTAACAGGCAAAAGTCAGAAATTCTAAAAATGAACAAAATTTATAAATATCGCTTTTTGTTACTCTGTCAGAGTACATTCAGGTCCAATAGAAAGTATAATATAACCTCGTTACAAATTTAACCACCTCACCAAAGGCTTTTATAACGTACGGTCAAATAAAAGTAGAAGTTATAACATACTGCATGTCTTCATTAGTAGCGATGTGTTCATTAAAAGTTGCCTGCGACTCTCCCACCAACTGGTTAATTCACGTCAGTAACGCTTTATTCTCATTCAAAGGAGTCGTCTACGGAAATAGACTCGTTATTACACAGTTTACATTTACCTAAAGTTTTTCAACGTCCCCGTGCCTCAGTTGTTGAATTATATCAAAAATATAATATAGTTTTGATATAATAAAATATCGTGGATAGAAAATGAGGATAGTGCTGGTTTACAAACTGTGCTCGTTTAGCAAGCAAAGCCGTTTGTGCTGTGTTGGTGTAATTTTTAACTACACTGTCTTTGTTGGAATCAATCTGCCTAATTCCTAAACACTAGACACAGAACTAATGCTTGTGACAATCAGCTTAAAATATTATAGGTTTTCGATTGTAAATAAAATTATTTTAATAACTTTATCGCGGTCAATTAGATTTCAAATTCTCGACCTTTCAAACACCTTGTAATACGGCAACGGGACATGCTGAAATATTTATGTCCTCGCAAACTCACAGTTAACCGTGCTACGCTCAACTGTTTATTAGTTATTTGGTCGCTTTTAATTCAATATAACCTGAAATAAAATCCCGATGCCCTTATGAAATTGTCAACTACAATTTTAATTGCTGAATCATCACGTGCTCTACAGTGATGGAAAACATCGGGAGGAAACCGAAAGCTTTCGAAATAATAATAAAAAATGTTGCTAAGTATTAGTGCTTCCATGGGCCTTGAACAGGGTGCGAGTCTAAATTAATGAACACGGCTTTATGTTGAACTGGAAGTTTATTCGCAAACTTGAAAAATAATTACAACCGTTGCGACGTAACGAAATCGTATGTGCACACTACAAAAGCGGACGAACAGAGCGCGAGAGGGGTCACTGCCCGCCCAATATATAGGTGGGAAGGATGATGCAATAACCATTTACTATTACATGTACCTTACATAATTAAAATGACATTTTGCGAACTACCACCTTCTACTATAAATTATAATTTATATTAGTAATTTATATAAGTATGTATTAACAATGAATAATTTAAAGAAAATAAAACTAATACATAAAAATAAAGAATCTAAAAAAAAGTATTTACATTATAATACGTGCGTCGCCAACAGGCCTCACTTGCGTTTTTCTTGCGCACTCGACGAACGAACTAATTTGGGTAATTTTGTCGCATGGTAAATGTTAATAAAATGATAAGCACAGACATTTATAGATTGAAACCTTTTTACAGAAGAAACTTATTAATTGAAACTAGTTTACGGTTTTTATTTAAATTCCGTAAACTAGTTTTTATTTAATAACTAGTTTCATTTAATGTGTATAATATTCGCGTAAAATCAAGAACTCGATAGGATAAACTTATATTGCATATTTAATTTGGTAGTCCTAACCTTGTGATTACATAAAGTATTACACAAATCTGATATGAGCCGTCACATTGGGAAACACTTAACTTATGCAGGTTTCCTCGCGATGGTTACATGTGAAAATTCCGCACTTAAAATTAACAACTTCATCGGTGCCAGCACCTGGGATCGAACTCAAATTGCTCTAGTAAAACCGGGCGCCCGGAAAGTGGATCATGGATCAGAACATGTGTACATGCTGAAATTTAGGAAAGCGGAATTAAGGAAAAAAGTGCTAAAGGATGAAATGATTAAACAAAAATATTTAATTTCTATACAAACTTTATTTCAAAATTAATTTCAAACTTCATTTACAAAAATATTCATTTAAGTCAAGATTTTCCTTTTTCTCTGTGGGATATTAACAAGAAGCAAGACTAGCTTTCAATCTCACATCAGTAATAAAATAAATTTCAATTTTCAGACATCAATAGGCAATAAATTTGCAGTATTTCAATGTCACCCACATACAAATTAAACATTGTAGAAAAATCTAAAATTTGATTGACTTGATTCGTGAAAAGAACGTAATTGAATTATTTTCTGTATTTGAAGCACATTGAGTAAGGGCTACATTTACATACAGTAAAACCATTCCATTTACCTTACAGCTGATGCAACCTATTTAGAAAAGGTAACATATAATTATAAAGAAATGCTAAGTAGGGAACGAATAAGTAAAATATACTGGGTACGGTTACGTTCAAAGTGAGTGAATGATTATGATAACAATGGGATCAAAATGGAGAATGCCACAATCATTTAAAGTGGTGGAAAAGAACAGTATCATATATATTTTGATCCTATTACATTTATATATAAACACCCTACCTCACGATTCTTCACTTTTTTATCAAATAGTAAAAGCAGAAGGTTATTGATAATGTGGATTCTTTGTAGGTGGAGAAAAATTAATTAGTGTAAAAAATTTACTGAAATCTGATACATCTACCTATGCTAAGCCAATTATTGTATTCGAACTTCAGCAGCTAGTAGAATACGAAAAAAAATTAGTGTTCGCATTTTTATGGTAAAGAAATGATATTAATTCCCATATAACAACCAATAATTCATCATAAATTATAACAGAGCTCTACACTGATAAGAGAAACGGTAATCGATTTTTAACAAACGTCACTTTAATGTTTCAAGCTTCAGCGATAGGTAATGAGTTATATAGCTATAGATAATGAAATAGCTTGCTTATTGAAGATTTGCTTTCGCATAATGCGAGCGGGCGTGTTCCTTGTCTTGTTCGTTGCTTACATTCAGGTTAACTATATTATTTCTGATTTTTATAAAAATTCTTCTAATCGTTTATATACAACACGTATAAATTATAACACATATTTGCCTTTGTAGTTTTTAACATAAAAATCCAGATTTCGAATATCCCGCCGATTTTAAGCATACGTAAATGGAGAAGTTCTAGATTAAAACCTTGATTAAACTCTTCTGAAAGCACCCGTTTAATATTGGAATGGAAAAACAGATGCCGGATGGCAGATTATGTCATTCTTTTACTTCACCCATAATAGCTAACTAAGTGAAAAGGTTCCTCCTTGTGCGTGGCAAGTTAATATCTTAAGGACGGAGACCCAGTGAGCGTCTAGTTGTCGCATAAAGGAAGGATTTGTTACATTATATTACCATTTGTGTCTTTAGAAAGCCCGCTGCAGCTGCAATGCCTCGGTGAGTGGAAAACTATTAAATTAAATAACTGCTACCCTTCAACTTAAGACAAAGAATCCGTGGTAAGTTCATTATAGTCAGGGGACATTATTGTAGTCGGAGGACCACTCGCTAACGGAAATAAGATTTATATTTAGTAAAATGACTTCTTATTGGATAACTTCTAATGAGTAAGTTACTAAGTTCAATAAAATATTTATGATAATCATATTTTTTTTTAGTGCACTGGAAATAATTGCACTGCTGGGGTTAGTTTTGGACTTCTTAAAAAAAAATATTCAAAAAAGAAAATATTAGAAAGTCTTGAAGGTTTTTCGATAAATTTAACAACTCGTATTTAACAGGTCGATTTGAAAGAGGAGTGCGTATCTCATGTAAGCAAGTTTACATTCTCAGTCGTAAATTTTGGCCGAAAGTTTTGCACGTGTGTCGATGCCCTTAGGTACTGTAATAATATATCCATTTATTTATTCCAGTGCGACAGTTATGCCTGTAAAGCTCTCGTAAGTATTGTTGCGATCACAAATTTTCACCTACCCTAATCTAATGTATCGTTGTATATTCTTATTGATCATCTTTTTCGGAAATTGAAGAAATACCATACCGATCGATATCTTGAAATTCCTCGAGATTCTTGGTATTAGCAAGTCCTGATTTCCAAATCTTTCAACTTTCCTTGGATTATAGGTATGATTTATATAAATATTTCGTCACCACTCGTTTCGATCATCTGACTACTTATGACACTATATCCTATTTAAATGTTTTGATGCGACCTAATATTGATTTGTTTAATATATCAACATTCTCTTCCGACGAAACCAAGCTATCCAGAAGCTAACCTCGCTATTAAATCTAATGCAGCTGGACGATATCAGTTGGGGTACGATTATTTCTATCGTCGATTACCTTTTAAAGTTATTGTGTTCTTATTCCTTCTGTTATTACTCCTGTTATTGCGAATATCATTAATGTGTCTCTTGTCCGTCCACTTCCAAAGTACTCCAATCCAGTCAAACCTTTCTTTTGCCAACAAAACCAAATTTCTCACTTTGTGTTTACTAATAACCTTTTAAGTCAACTCCATTTTGGATTTAGACCTGGACATAGTACCACTACCGCACTTCTGATGGTAACTGATATTAGAGTTTGCATGGAAGGTACCAAAATCACTTAATCAACTTTTCAAAAGCCTATATTACCAGTCACTACATCCTTTCAGCCATACTCGCTCACATTTTGGTTTTCGATCAACTGCTGGATAATTTTCTTCTTATCTTCGGCGATCCCAATAGTCAATCAGTCAGTTAATGTCAATTTTTAAAATTATTAATTTTGAGTCGACAGTATGGACAGATGGAAAAAAATCTTGGAATCTTTCAGTGTTGGTTTATCCAGGTCTAATCTGGATTTAATGTTATAAATAATAGGACCCCAAGCTGAAAGTACGGATAGCTTTCTTGTATTATCTGGTGTTTGTGCTTTCAGTCCCGAGACTATTAAAGCTTCATCTGACGCAGAACCGGTGGGCTAGCCACAGGTTTGGGCCCTCCGTTGTGGGTAGGGCCGCGCATGTGCTCATGCGTGAGTTTAACTACGGCATATCATCTAAGCTTGAGCCGTGATAGCTCAGTGTCCGGGCGCTCGCCTTTAATTCAATATACTCGAGCAACCTGAGTTCGATCCCCGGTGCCGGCACCAATGAAGTTTTTAACTTTAAGTGCTGACTTATCACGTGCTCCGCGGTGAAGGAAAACATCGTGAGGAAACCTGCATATTTTCGAAATAATAACAAAAATATTTTTTATTTCGAAGATATGTGAAGTCCGCCAACCCGCAGTGGGGCCGCGTGGTGGACTATGCTCTGATACCCTCTCTATAGAGGAGGCCTTTGCCCAGCAGTGGGACATGTATAGGCTGTTACTATATCATCTAAGGGCTATCCAGGTTGTGGTGCGGACCAAAACCCGATGGCCGTCGACTGTGTTTTTAGCTAATCGGTGGCTGGGGGCGGTGAGAACAGCCCTAGAACGTGGGTGTACCTTGTGTACGCGTTGTGTTGGTCTCGCCGTGCTCGGAGGCGAGGGCGAACTAATGTGTTTGTTGCTACACTAACTGTCTGTGTAGTGTTATACGGCGGGACCCCCGACGGTAGGTCCGACGTGCCTAAGTCGACCGGGTCGATGACGAGGTTTCGCGGGCGACGCTTGTTGACGCTCGCGTTTGGATCGGATTGGTAATTTGCTGCGCTTACCACCAGAGGGTTGGGAGTACGGATAGCGCTAACTTTTCTCTGTATTGATTTTTTTTGTTATTTCAATAGCCTTGTAGAGCATCCTTGCTAAGGATCAGCGTTATTTCGCAAGAATCTGTGCTCTATGAAATCTGTAATGGTTGGGAAGATTTTAAACGTAATCACAATTTTTTCTAATTTTGTGTGTTTATGTCAGACATATAAATTTCTTCCTTACATTTAAACGTATTACATTTTACAGTGCCACGGTGACATGTGCTCGAGTTCGGTGAGCCACATGAGTCCACAACTTCACTTGTTTACAGTATCACAATAATAGGTTTTTGTACTAAAATTACAAATTACATATTTACAGTGCACCGGCTGGTTTTGTGAGGCATTTGTATGTATTAAGAATTTTTATTTCTTTTCCCTTTATATATACTATATTCATTTATTCTACAGTATTCACTTAAATACATAGATTTTATTTATAAAAATGTATGAAATAATTTATTAAGTCTTCCAATTAAGATTGTCTTTACTACTGAGATCACTATTCACTAAGGATACGATTGACTTGCAAATGAATTGTATGTCCGGCTGCTGCTGACTTCTGATAATACATAATTCTGTATTACATACTATGTGTTCAAATCACAAAGTATCTTAGCGGATTGTTTGAAGGTAGGTCTGATATTGTGTATAGGTTTATATGGTAAAAACAATTAGGCTTAAGCGGCTTAAAATAATATCGCATATCGAAGAATCCGTTACCTTCAAAAAGCATTGAAATCACTCTTGCAACTTCACGATAAGATGTTTATTAACACCTTTACTTCTTGCTTCATGAACTTTCAAAATATTTTCTTAACAAACACATTTTGTGAATAAAACTCAAATCAGTTTCTTTCATAATCAGTGCGAGGGCAAAGGCTGCAGTTCTTTTGTAAGTATTTTCAAAAGTAATCAAAGCGAATAAAGCAATACACCTATATGTGAAGTTCTCATCTATTATAAAGCCAAATCTTAGCTAGTTTGGTCTAATTAAAAAGAGCCTATGAACTTGGTCCGCCAGGGCAAATCTGAGTTGGGTCGCTAGTCGCTTATCAATTATAAAACTGAAACAAAAAACTAAATTTCTTAGTGCATCTTAGAAGGTTTTATTCAAAGTAAAGTAAAATAATAGCCTAAATATTCCAGGCAAATGTGTGGTTAGTTCACCTTGCGACCACACCGCATTGGTGGATTTTACATATCTTCGATTTTTTCATTTGTTATTCAGAAAACATGCAGGTAACCTTACCTAACAATGTTTTCCTTCACCGGTGAGCACGTGAAATTAAAACTATCAATTTTATTGGTGCCACCGCAGGGTAGCAAGATCGAGCACCCTGAGTACAAATCTCTGTATATTTGAACTCAGGTTGCTCGATCGATTATTATGTCAATTAAAAGCACTGAGCTACTACGGCAGAACGGGCGCAGGTTTTCTTCAGTTTTCGTTAAATGCCAATAAGAGTAGGTACATACATGTTAATTTTAATGAAAACTTGTTTGCGGATATTTTCGCGGTTAATTTTTGGTTTTAGACTCCTAACGTTTCGAAAACTTTACAACCATATTCCATAATAAAACACCATGTTCTTTATTGAAATGTTTAGCAGAATTGTAATTAATTTTTCGACTGATTTTAGTGCAGCGGAATTGCCTGCAAAGCTCTCGTAAGTATAACGGGATTAAAATATTAAAATGGTATTGAAGAAACCATAGCATTTCTGCAAACCATAGCATTTCTGCGTAACTGACCAAATCTTTTGAATTTATGCAGTGATACTAATCACTGCAAAAATTCAAATAGTTTTAAAATACTATTCGAAGAGCGTGTTGAAGAGAAAAATTTAGCAGTAGAGTAGATGCTATTTTGTAATGTTTGTAGATGACGTATAATTTATCTTTGGTTTTAATTCCCTGCGTTTCGAACACTATAGCGTCCATGGTCATGAAACAAACTGAATGTAAATTTATCGCCACGCTTTATACATGTTCTAATGACATCATTATATGGTTCTAATAGTAAAAATAATGTAAGAAAACATTTTATTGTAGTCCAATGGAAATGGATGTCATATGAATACAATGTAATAAGGAATCGAAAATAAATGCTGGAGTATATTGCTACTAAATCACACTGTTGCAATAAAAAGGTTTGGATCATAGATAAGACATATATACTGAAATAACAAACAAAATACTAACAAAATACTGGTTTGGATGACATAATTTTATTATACAAGTTACCACAGAGTAGAAAGACAGCACAGAAATGTAAATTGCACAGATTAAAAAACTGACACAAACGATTATTATTTTTGTAAAGCGTTTAATTTTTTAACCTAAATAACCGCGACAATTATACCTTGCAACATATTTCGTCACGGGATAGACAAGGTTTATATACCATATATTTCAGTGTCTTTTTAATTCTGTACCAACTGTTTTAATAAATGATAAATATTGACTGTTAAAAATCAACTGTCATTGAAATAAAAGATAATTTATTAAAAACTCACAAATGAGTAAGATTTGTTCAAACCGTTATACGACGTCATAAAAAGTTATGGTCGTCAAAAAAGTATGACGACCCAATTGGCGTGGGGAGTAGTGACCCTGCCTCCTGCGCCAGAGGGTGTGGGTTCGATCCCCACTACTGGAAAAAATATTGTGTGATGAACATCGTGTTTTTCCAGTGTCTGGGTGTTTATATATGTATAATATATATTTACAAAAGAAAAGTATGTTTAAGTAGGTTTATCAGTTTTCTAGTACCCATAGTACAAGCGTTGCTTAGTTTGGGACTAGAGAATGTTGTGTAAGAAATGTGTCCGATATATTTATTTAAAAGTTAAATACCAAAATAGGGTATTTGCCCGTATTCAATAGATATAACTTAATTTTAATCAAGTCTTGATATTCCTTGTTTTAGGTGTTGCAAAAAGATACAGATACAAGTAGAATAACACAGAATTCAATTTTTCAAATACGTGCATTATTTTTTCGCTAAATCTTGTTTGCTGTCGGCGATTTGTTGGGATTTATGTAAATTGACACAAGAAAAGCTAGTCCCCCTTCTCTACAGATTATGTTTATTTATTGAGATTATGTTGACATTTCATCTTTAGCTTCTCCTCTCCATTTCCATTTTCTGTATGTTTGAGCTATGCCATAACATCAACGAAGATTTGAAAGATTTGATTTTTTCCATCTCTTATAATAATACATTTAATACATTTGTATTTGTATATCATAACATGCGTACCGGGAAAAGTTAACTGTTATGTTACTTACTTAATGTGCAACTAATTTGTAGTTTGTCATAAAAGCAATTTACTTCCTTCAATCATTAAAATCCCAACGTAACACATGTTTTATTGTTTAATCAAAAGTTTCTTTTATGTGAGAAAGTGGCCAATGAGTGGGCGGTTCACCTTATGTTAAGTGATAACCGCCGCCCATGGACATTTGCAACACCCGCAGAGTTTCAGATGCGTTGCCACCTTTTAATAAAGTGGGCCCCGACTACCTCACTCACCAGACGAAACGCAGAAGTGTAACACTTCTACTTCACGCCGGTCTTCTGTGAGGTCCTCTTAGTACTAATCCGGACGCACCTGCCCATTCGTGCAACAGTGAACACCGTTGCGTGGCCCTACCACGTCGACGTAAATTTAAAATTCCGCAGCTGAAATCAAAATTACATTGTGATAATAAATAAATGGGATTGTAATACTATATCTGGGCAGCAGGGACAAGTCTCAAAGCTGTAATCACTGAGATATTTTAAAATGATATAAAATCGAGTACAGTATCTTTGTAAAATAAGGAAACAATCAATGGATAAACCAAATAAATATACGGTTGAAAAATTAATCTGCAAAATCAATAAACCTCAATCTTATTTTCAGTTTTATTATCCATATATGTATATATATTTAATTTTAAGCAGACAAATTTAGTGTGACTAAACTGAAACTACCTACTAACTAAACCATACACCGAGAAGGAATTTAGAGAAGACATAATACACAAATCTGTAACCCAATTACAACTAAACAAAACTTTTTCTAACCCTACAGATAAAATATTAATCTAAAGAATCAACATTTTATAAAAGTAAAACATCACTTATCAAGCAAAAACCTATACATATCCCACTGCTGAACAAAGGCCTCCTCTGCACAGAGAATATCTGAGCATACTCCACCACGCGGCCCCACTAGGGATTGGCGGACTTCCACATATCGTCGAAATATTATTTAGTTATTATTTTGAAATGCCGGTTTCCTCACGATGTTTCCTTCACGGCTGAGCACGTGATAAGTCACCACTTAAAATTAACAATTTCATTGGCGCCGGCACCGGGGAAGGAACTCAAGTTGTTCGAGTATATTGAATTTAAGGCAAGCACCCCAGACACCGAGCTACTGAGCTATCACGGCTCTCATCAAGCTAAAGTAAAAGTCAAAGGGTACAATACGAGCGTGAGTAGCACCTACACACCCAACTGCTGTGCCTGTACATGACAAGAAGCAATATGACGTCAGAGAGATGCTTTAAATCTGGGCAGACTACAGTTGAATATGTCTTGATGAGAACAGACACTATTATTATATGGTGCCTCACTTTGGGGTTCCGCATCCGGTTTAAACACGATATTTGTATTGCAAAAGCAAGCTATACGGGCTGTCTATGGCTTGGGTCCACGTGAGTCCCTTCGGCATATCGTTAAGCAAATAAACATCTTAACGCTCCCGTCGCTATACATACTTGAGAACATCATGTATGCACGAAATAACGTACATCTTTTTACAAAAAAAACAGCACATCGCGTCGGGGCCGTGGTGACACGCTGGATATACAAAGGTTTACGCCCGGTTTCTGAAACACTGATTATCGTAGAAGTTAACTAATCACCTAAAAAATATTTAAGGGTGCTCGCATACAGTAAACGCGAGGCCGTTGCTAGGCAACCTATCGGTACTTACCAATAAGTTTATCATAAATAATGGTACGAAAACCTACGTGCGCAAGTCCAACTCGCACTTGCTCGATTTTTTTAGTTTCATTTCGTCCTTATCAGAGGCATTTATATTTTATCAATATATTCAATAAAACTAAACCGGTCATAACAATAAAACTGATAACTGAACACATTGTTCCGAATAAATAAAATGGACATATTGACACCATCAGGGATCAGATGACAGGGTCACCATCCTGCCTACTGTGGGATAAGGGCAGGAGGAAGAAGTTCAATAACACTAAGAATACCTTTGTTTTATACGAGTAATTTTTGTTTAGGTTTTATTTTGCTGCTGCAAATGTGTCGTAAATTATTGGCACACAAATCGACTCAAAACGTTAGAGCCACGCAGCAAATTGATAGCAATTACTCGTAGGTATACATCTCGTGAGTAAGGTATCCAAGGTCTCCAAGGTTGTCAATTACCACCAGTTTTTGTGGACGTCTACAAGCGACAATAATCACCATACGGCGAACGCGGTGCACGTTAGGCACCCTATATTACAAAGAACTGCAGATTTTGGTTTCTTTAACCACAATTTTGCTTATATTCTCCTTGAAGTTGGTCACGTATCAAATAAAATAAAAATGCTATTGGGACTAGTACATTACACGCTCTGGCGAACTGTCGCCCGCGGTACGTGAACCGCCATCATAATTTATATCTGACTGACGTATCTGATGCAAAAACACGCGCAAAGAGACGTATATTAGCTAAACCATATAGAAAATTTTTATCTTTTTAAGTATGAAAATATTATGGATATATCCACTATAGCTGGCAGAGAACTCATGCACTGAGTTAAGCTTAACTTTTGTACATTACTTACATTTTTAATTTTTTTTTGTATCCTGTGTTTTGTATACAATAAATACATAAATAAAAATAAATAATCCACTGTTCTGAATTATTTACTAATGTCGTATTTTACGTCCACCTTGTCCTTTTTTAGGGTGCCGTACCCAAAGGGTAAAACGGGACCCTATTACTAACACTATGCTGTCAGTCTGTCTGTCCGTCTGTCACCAGGCCGTGTAACTCATGAGCCGTGATAGTCGGACAGTTGAAATTTTCACACATGATGTATTTCTGTTGCCGCTACTACAGAAAATACTAAAAAGGACTTAAAAAATATTTAGCTCCCATAGAAAAATTTTTGCGATTTTTTTTCCCATTTTTATAGATAATGGTACGGAACCCATCTTGCGCAAGTCCGACTCGCACTTGGCCGGTTTATACTACTGTTTATACTTTTATGTTGAAATGAAAGAATGCGTGTCTTTTTAACGTCGAATTTTCTAAGTTCGCGTTTTTAATGAAATTTCTTTCGAATGAACGGTACAGTTCAAAACACGAGTAAAACTAGGAGGGCTGGAATCATTCGCAGTAGCAACAGCCGGGAACTTATAAAAAATTTCAATGTTATTGAACTATTTCACCTAAATTTAGAAAATTCTCTTTACACTACCTGATCCAAATCGTTTGTTACGGACGAAGATCCGGCCGAATTATTAGACGACAGAACCCGGTCACCTCTTTCATTTCATTTGAAAAGGGTCCGACACATTCTGCAATGACAAGCTTGTTTGAAAATGAAGTTAAATCCTCCACAAAATAATGAATGAAGCTTTATAGCGTAAGATATGATTTAGGTTCAAAGAAATATTTATTTTCTCAAAAAAGAATATTACAATATTCACTTATCTTTAAGAAAATTTTACATAGTACATGTTAAATAACAATTTAAAAAGTTTGGATAATCGGAGTTATTGCTAACTTTCCATTAAAAACATTTTTAATTTTTTTTTTTGAAACTCGTTAAAGAGGAACAATTTTTGATATCGGGTGGTAACTTATTATATAGCTGAGCTCCTTCAAACTGTATATTTCTTCTTCCATACAAAGTCCTGATTTTAGGTAGTTCTAAGTTATGTTTATGTCGTGTGTATTTATGTGTTTTTCTTATTAAATGTAATTTGTGTCTTTATTTGATTTGTTAATATTTTTCTGATAAGTATGCATGTAGTATAAATGTATAATTGTTGTATATTAAATACT